GGCCTCCACACACTTCAGGATCCTGCTAGAAACCCGGAGCTAAGATTTTGCTCCATTTTAATGACACGTCCAAGTGCCTTGCGGTCCGCGGCCCTTCTGAAATTGTTTTAATTGACGTTCCATGAATCCTGGCGGGTTCAGACGGAGTTCATCTCGAAGCCCATCCTGATTTCATTAAAGATTTGATCTTTCTTTTTTCACCAATAAAACACTTATTATCGTTATCTGTTTCGTAACCATTTTCTCTCTCCAAAGCGGGGGGTGGGAGTTGGGGGTGGCATCCACCTCACCTTCATGTCTGTGAGACTCAGGAATCATCTGTTGATTTCCCTGACACACAATCACAGTAACGTCAAAAGCAATAATTCGTGAATTCTTATTCTCCTTTTAAATTAAGGCAATCCTCATGCAAGCGGAGTCTTTACGCCTGCAGGTGAGGGTGTTTGTGAATTACCTGCACCCGGGGCTTGGGAAAGAATCCTCTTCCTAATTTTAGGTGTTTTGGGGTGTCCCCCCCCCCGCAATGAGGAGATGTCAGAGCTGTTCAATGGCTGAGGCAGAAGGCTCACGAACACTGTCCCCCCACCTCCCACCCACAGGAGGTCCATGATGGGAACCCACGTTACCGAGGAACCAAATAATGTAACGGCGAAACCATCCCGCCACGCCGCCCGCTGACCCGGGTGTTAATAACGACCAGTTAATTGCTATTAAGTCATCGCTGCCCAGTCTGGGCCGGGCCTGAAACGGATGCCTGGGCATCGGTCTCCAGGCTGTGCGGGTGGCGATCTGGTCCCACGCGGGGGCTCTCGGCGAACCCCATACCTGTCCCCCGCGCGGTGGGTTGGAGCCACAATGTTTTTGTTAAGGCCTCAGCTGCAGCCCCTGCCTCGCTCTCTGTTTCATGTATGTAATGCACTTAAAATGCACTAAATGACAGTTTATAATATCATTATCTACAGTTAGAGATATTATAACTTCAAAAATGGAAAGAAAGTGCAGCCATATGTGGACACGGCCGGCGGGGTGCCCTCCCCCCCACCCCCCTCAGCGCCTCAGCTGGACCCCACTGGCAACGGTATCAGCATCCTCCGTCTGCAAAACCACTTAGCCGTCCGTGCCCACAGTCGTCGGGGAAGGAAGCCGGGTTATTTAGACAATAAATAACCACCGTGGACTCGTGGGTGTATTTCTGCCTTGTCTTCTTCTCCTCTACTTGGGTGCCGGGTTCCAATATGTTCTTTATTACATGGTTTGATAATTCAGGGATGGCTCAGCGACTCCACTACCCTGCCCCCCAGCCCC